AGCTTGGCTGCTGCCGTCATACACTCTATATGACATATGTCAAGCCCGTGTGCTCCTGCCCTAGTAGTTGTTCTCAGGAATTTATAAACACATTGCTTGTGCTTTGGACAGTGCGACCTTAGCAGCATCAGGGTTAGCATGTGAAGGATGACAGAACAGCCAACAGTTACCCAGCACTTACTACGTGCTATTGCTCTAAGTGTTTTAGATGATTAATGTAACCCCCATAACAAATATATGAGGTAGATAGTAACATCTCTACTTTATAGACAGGAATTGAGGCAAAGAGTAAGTCAGTAATTTAGGTTGCCAGGGAGTAAGTAGAAAAGCTGGGATTCAACGCTGGCAATTTGTACTCATTCTGATTCCTTAAACAATGGACTATGTAGTGCTTCATATTTGGAAAAAAAAATCTCCAAAGATCTTTAGAATTTTTGTCTATAGACCAGGTTAAAATGAGGTATCTGATTCTTCCTCTGCATACCTTTTAAGTAATAACGAACACAGGAATTCCACAATGTTTATTTTGTAATCTTTCTGCCTAGGTCTGACCAGAAGACATTCCAAATGATGAGGGGGAGAGGAAGACTATTGGTGTAGTCCACACAGAGAGAAGTTCTGTACTACTTCCTAGTTTGTGATCTTGGGCAAGTCATCAAAATGTTCTGAACTTAAGTTTAGTACCCATAAAAGCACTACAATGTTTACCCCACAGGACTGGATAGTTAAATGAAGACTTTGACCACTGATGCAAATAAGGACTGCAATATTTAGGTGTCCTGGTGAGTAGACCCTTTATGCATAATTTATGGGATTTTCTTTGAGTCATTCTGACTGTAGGATTTTTTATCTTAGTTGCTGGCATCAGAATCCTTGATTAAATGCAACTCCATTTTTTTTTTTAAGCAGGAGAAAATAAAATTTAATTTTGTGTGCATGGAGAAGCCACCTAGACATGAGACCCCCGTATTATAAGCCTTTGGACAAGTGGATCTAGTGTCTTTATGGGATCTCCTCAGGCTGTTTCTACAGTTGGGCTCAGGATGGCACACCCTAACTACAGAGATAAGTCTAACAGTTGCCCAGATCAAACAGTAGATAATTTCTTGCCAATAAAAACTACAGTTAGGGCAAAATGACAATGGAGAGCAATAGAGTTCCAAAAGGAACTGTCAGCAGGTCATCCAGCAGGTATTTTGTGTTTATTTACAAAGCAAATACAGTTCTTGTCAACCCAACATAATGGCTTATGTCACACCCGGTTTATTATTTATTTGAGAGAGAGTGCGCACAAGCGGGGAGGACAGCAGAGGGAGAAGCAGGCTTCCCACTGAGCAAGGAGCCTGATATGGGGCTCGATCCCAGGACCCTGGGATCATGACCTGAGCCAAAGGCAGACACTTAACTGAATGAGCCACCCAAGTGCCCCAGTGTCACACCTGGTTTTGACAACAACCAGAAATATTTCAAGGGTTCCTAAAGCACTTCATTTCAAAGTTTTATATTTACTATTTAGAATAATTCCTTGGAACAATTTTTAGGTATTATATATTTATTTTTAAAGATAGTTGAGTTTACCCATTATCAAAAGATAAAATATCATTAAAATGAGGACTGCATAAATATATAGAGAGAACTAATTTTTGTAGATGCCTTTCCTGGGTACCTAGATCCAAAATCAAAAGAAGAGAAATAGAGAAAATACAAAAGTGCAAAGGAGATAAATGACTAATGAATTGTCATAACTTTTATTTATTTTCATTTACAGTTCTGGCACTGACACTTTTTTTAAAAAAAGATTTTAGTTTTATGTAAAGATTGAACTTCAATAAAATAACTTAAAAAATTTACATATACATCACTAAATTTCCATAAAATATACAATACTTTTGATACAGCTATAGGCTAGAATGACTTTGAAGGAAATGATACATATTCATAATTTTTAAGAGATATCCCATGTCACATGTAAGAATAAATATTTATATTGAATTTTCCAAGACGTGAAATATTAAATACTATAACATGCACTCAAATTAAAATATACATTTTGAAATACATATTTTAAAAGCATAAAACTTTTGATTTAATCTAGATGTACATTAGAGCTTCTAAATAGAAATTTGAACATTTATTACAAATAAAGATACTATAACATCAAATGAGATACAGTCCAAAAGCTGCTAGGAACCAGTTCGGACATGTAGAATATAAAGTTCTACTTTGGCTAGAGTTTAAGTCTCATTTTTTTTTAACCTTCAAATGAGATGGAATGATGTTAATTTTACTAAAATTGTAAAACTTCACAAAATATCGTTGTTTAAGTACTTGTAAGCTGCATTCCTTTTTCTCATACGGACATGACAAAAATCAAACACATAAATTTAACTGTGTGAAATAAATATATGAATATTACTACTAAATGAAAGTAGTTATTGAACATTTCATAGACCAAATCACTCAAGTGCAAGACTGCTTTATACATATAAAGATTTATAGGAATTACACCGTTTTACACTCACAGGCAAATTAAGAGGATAAAATTCTCTCATGTACTTAACATCATTGACACTCTTACAAAATAGCTCTTTAATGATTATTGGCACACAAATATTTCCCTCTCTAAAAGAAAACATAAAAGAGAGTTGGTAGCAGTTAGCTATTTGGCATTTTAAAATGATTGCTATCTCCAGAAAACAATATTTCTCACCCAGAAGAACTGAATGTACTGATAATTGTACATTGCTACCACCTGATCACTTCATCAAATCAGCTTAACACTTCTGTACATGAGGCTAAGAAAATTGATAAGTGACAGAAAACAGGACATTAAAAATACTCCAGAGAAGAATTCTAAGTTTTTTCATAGGCAGCTATACATTTTATCCAATATTTAATAGATTTTGCTGTAAAGCACATGTTATGAATTCTCTGCCATGGGCCTGCTAGGTCATGGTTTTATTTGCAGTTAGTAAGAAGATATAAACTGAAAACTTGTTGCAACAAGCTGTATATGTGAAAGCTATAAGGTGCTTAGTATAATTTGAGATTTTATAACCAGGAGAGTGGTCAAAACAAAACTGATTATAACAAAAATCTCATTAATTGTTCTTAATTACTATGCCGATAAAACAATCCTTCCACTCCCCCTAATTGCATGACAATATTTCTAAACCGTATTAGTGTCATTAAGTTGTGAGACTTTCTTAGATAAGATATAGATAGTATTTTTTCAGAATATTCTCCCCCTAGAATCTGTGATTACAATACATTCCAATTTTACTTCCCAATATAAAACAAAAGGGTAAATTGTCAGTTTACATTTTTCCTGTTCATTCTTCCTCTAGATTATGGATTTTGAAATGATAGTAAGCAACTTCTAAGTTTTTTGCTTTAATGGAATTCTCATTTTAGAGTGAATAATTAAAAAAATATTTAGATTCTTATATACTAAAATCTAGCTCACTGGTAAAATAAAATTATGAAAAAGCACTTGACAGCATTACGGAAGTATTACCTTTTAAATTTAGTTTTGATTTAGATCTTTTACAAATACATTAAAAATCATGTCTTGGGTAATTAATGACTAAGGTGCAACAGTCAAAATTATTAGGAATGTTTGTATTGAAGAAAACTATTAATACCAAATCTTTAAAATTTATCTGACATCACATTCAGCCCTATGTGTTCAGATGCAGATGAAGGGTTATATTCTCTTTAGTCTATGGTAGATCTCATCAGCCACCAAGCTAAGCCTCAAATAGGGGTTATGACTTTCTTTACTATGTGCTCCTAAAACATAATATGTCTCTATTGAATGTGCAGCATGCTTAGAAGGAAACCTTAATTTCAGTTAAAAGCATGATGCTTAATCTGTTTTAATATGGTAGTTCAAATCATACCATATATAAATTGTCCTACAAAATATATATTTGATGATATTTCAAATGGAATGTTTTCAAGTTGATAGTGGTAGCCAAAGATGCTGAGAACTTAAAAGGTACATAATATAAAAAAACCTGCAAAATTCAAATGTTTAATTTTTTAATATACTATAAAGGTTCACCAAATCTAAAAATAATACTCTAATTGTATAAGGTTTCTTTTTAAGTAGTTGTTTTTTAAAAAATTATAAATAATCTTTATACTGTGCCACTCTTTCTTGTACTTCAAAGATAAGGAATATTGTCTTTATCACTATATAAATAACAAATAGTCCTTTAAAGGAGGGGTTGAGGAGAATAGGGGAGGAGAACTGTGGCTAATTTTCCCTGTTATTCTGTGCATTTATGGATATAAAGTTGAATATACCGTTTGCTTATGTCAGGGAGAACAGGCCATGTTCTGTTTTAGGAAATAATAAAAGTCCAGTTGCTCCTTTAATAAAGTTACTGTGCATTCAGCCCAGCTGAGTACAGAAGCATATAGTTAAGGCTATGTATGTAATAAAGAGAAGAATCAAGGCAATTATTTGGATAAATCAGAAAAATACATTTTTAGAGAGTACTTTATTGGTCTAAATATTTTTTCTTCCCATCATATTCTGATTTTACCACATAATAGCTCATTTTCCACTTCACTTTACTTGTGTGAAGTATTACACAGATAAGAAATTTTTATGGGATAAGAAATATCAATAATTTTCTCTATTAAGTCACATCTGCTTTTCTGGGGGAAAATCAGTATTAATATCCCCTTAGAAATCAATTGTCAAAGCACCTAATTCAGGGAAAAAAACTCTCTCAAATTTTTTTTATTGTATGAAATGATCAAAAGGAGAAAACTTTTTTTTTTTTTTTGGCTGAAGGATTTTTAGGCCAGTAAAGTGACAGTTCAAGTACTTATCATACCCCCGGTGGCTATGAGAACAAACCTCCTTGGCTACATTCTCAGTTTTGATAATAGTGATAAGGAATAAGCCAGACTTCAAGCAAAGAACAAAACATCTTGGAGACTGGCAGAAACACACACTGAATTTAGAGATAGCCATCTTTTCACTCCAAAGAGTACCTTATTAGAGATTTAGAGCCATATTAAAATCCATCAAACTTATATATTCCTATCTGGCCACAGACGATTCATTCATATTTTCACTGGAACTAGCAAGTAATTTTGTATATTCTGTATAGTTCTTAAGAGCAAAAATTAGAGTTCATTGATGAATGAGCATAAAAACCAATGAACACTCTGAGAAGACACTGTAGAAATGTATGGTATATTAGAACCATTAATCTGTTCCAATGGAAAACCCTAATTTTTAGACAAGAAGGAAAAAAATCCAAGCCAAGTATGAGAAAAAGGAAAGACCCACAGACAAATCTGTATCTTTTTTGATAAAATTCTGAAGGAAAATGAGAAAAGGGTGTGCAAAATAAAATGAGTTTATGTTCTTAAAGAAAACACTAGTACAGTTCTCTTAAGAGTTAATAAAAAGCTAAGGAAAAAATAAGTCGCCCTATTTAATTAAACAAAATATCAATAACAGGATTATCTGTCACTGATTTTCTTTCTTTTTTGTTTCAGGAATTATTTGATTAAAAGAATGGGAAAAATAGTCTGCTAGCAGCTATTTATATTAAAACAAACGAAGGCACAAATAGGACTCCAGAGGCGATGAGTGAAGGCGTGGTGAGTATCAGGTGATTTTGGCATGAACAGAAACCCTGAAATACAGTTGAAGATCTGGTGCTGTTTTGTGTTTACAGTTGCATACCTAAGTGACTAACTCAAATCAGGGATCCATAAAAATGTTTTCTTTCTTACTTTCTAGCAATAAAATATACTTATCAAAACTTGCTAGCTTATCTGTGCAAATGGATACTTATCACCAATGCAAAAAATATACATGAAAATAAACCCTAAAAGACCTGCTTTTCATAATGTTCAAAAGGTCCTGTGCAGAGTCAGTTTCTGAAAAACTCTATGAAGATCTGATTTGGAGAGAGAGACCAAAATGTGGAATCCAAAGGGGGTAAGGACCACCGTGCCTCTGTGGGAGGCACTTCTGAATTTGTTGAAAGCTTAAATAGAATTTACTTTCTAATAGCTGATCACAGAAAAGCTACTTGTCCTTAGGAAAATTTAGGGCCAATAAGGCCTTGTTTTGACAGAAAACACCCTTGGATCTTATTCCAGAATCCTTCTTCATAAGTATATCCTACATATACGATTAAGCTAGATTAGCACTGACTCTAATAATTATATATGGTTTTAGGAAAAAAGGATACCACTGAAGTCACTGGATACAATATTCATTTTAGACTACCTCAGGAAGGAATTACATACATTTGTTCAATAATTATTAGTTTAAAATATCTAAATATTGTTTTACATTTCTGCTTTTGAAAAAAAAATGTCATCATGGTTGTATCTTCCTCCTAATCAAATATTCTAGAAGATGAGGTCATTCAAAACTAGACTGGAAAGATCCAGATTAAAAGCAGGGCATTGAGGTCACCAATTGCTGCTTTTGTCCCCCAGGTTTGTTTAAATACCTCAATATATCAGCAGCTGAAAATTATTCCACATCAGAAGCATCGTTGTCAGAAAGATGATAGTTACTTCCCTTCACCCGAATATATTCAATATATCTCCCTTCATCAGAATCTGAAGCGCCACATGTACATAACCTGTTATCAAAGAGTGATTCAATTTCCTCTAATTTTTTCCCTTTGGTCTCAGGAAGACAGCCATAGATGAAAAGGAGTCCCACACCAGCGAATCCAGCATAAAGGAAGAAGGCTCCTGCAATGGAAAAGAGTACATATTTGTACGTACAGTCCTAGGTTGGAAAGAGTACTTGATTTTGACTTTTCTTTCTGGTCAGTCATGTGTAACTGTGGTCTGACATAGAATCAAAAAATAACTACCAGCCTGCTTTACTGCTTTATTGTTCTAGCTCCGTGAACATAATACAATTTATCTTTCTTTCCTTTTTTTTTTCCTAAAGATTTTATTCATTTATTTGACAGAGACATAGCGAGAGAGGGAACACAAGCAGGGGGAGTGGGAGAGGGAGAAGCAGGCTTCCCGCTGAGCAGGGAGCCCGATGCGGGGCTCGATCCCAGGACTCTGGGATCATGACCTGAGCCGAAGGCAGACGCTTAATGACTGAGCCACCAGGCGCCCCCAATTTATCTTTCTAAGTTCAAGTCATGTAATGTCTAACTCAAGAAGAATGATAAACTGGGTTCAGACATAACTTCTGCTTTGAATCCCTCCTCACTTCCCTGGCTAGAGATCAGTGTTCTCTCCTATGTACTTTTACAGCACTTTGCTGAGACCCCCGTCATAATAAACAAGTATTATAATTAGGTGCATGAATTTATGTCTGTCTTGTCTACTAGACTGCAGGCATTTTGAGGGAGAAATTTCTCATATTTCTGAAACCACATACAGTGATGCCACTGAATTCATGACTCAGCTAAGTACATGGCAACTGTTATCTTTCCAGTCTTTCACGCCCAAAGTCTAGGAGTCAATCTTGACTTTCTTACTCTCCTGCCCAAAATCCAATCTGTCAGGAGATCCTCTTGGATCTACCTTCAAAATACCAAAAATGACCACTTTTCGCCATTCCACTGGCATCTCTAGTTTAAGGGCCATCCTCTCTCATCTGAACTATTGCAGGAGTCTTTTAACTAGTCCCCTTGTTCCTTTTCTTATACCACTAAGGTCCCTTTTTGTTTTTGGTCCGTAGCACTTCTCACCATCTGACATACTATAAAGCTCATTAATTTGTTTTGTTTCCCTCGACTAGAATGTAAGTTCCGTGAGGTCAGAGAATTTTATTTTGCTGTAACACTATGCATGCCAATGCATCATTAATAAAAAGACCTGTGTAGTACCTGGTTGTGTTTTCTGTCAATGCAGCAAGCCTAGATGGATGAGATATATGTGACTTGTGTATATTCTCTACATATTTCCAAGACGGTCTTTCCTTTATAATCGAATTCTCAATTTAAATATAAGACCCTAACTACAGTGGAGTTCCTGCCTAATTTGAGGCCTTAAATCCAGATCATCGTGGTGAAGGAAGGTGACAAACTAATATAACAAATGACTGCAGAAAGGCTATCAGTTTGGGAGTTGGAAGATCTGGGTTTGAATCTTTCTGTCTGACTTCCAGTCATTTAACCTCCTCTCTGTGCCTCAGTTTCCATATCAAGGGGAAAAAAAGATGGTTTCTCAGCTTCTATTTAATTTATAGTTCTATAAATTTTACAACCCAAATCAGGAGCAGGTAGAGAGATGGTTATGAGGTGCTTGAGAGGGAGATGTGCTCTTCTGTTTCAATGTCAAAACTGATCTCCTCAAGGGCTGAGTTGGCTTGTTTGTATTTGGGTTCCCAGTGCCTAGAATGGTACCTGACACACTGGAGGGTCTAGAAATAAACGCGCTCTTATTGACTGCCAGATGGAATACTCTGGGTAAACAAATTTGAAATAAAGTGCTGAACTAGACAACATAAAGACATATTTCAAAATTAAGCTTTAAGCAAAATTAATATTTCTCTGTTCTTCTGAATCATTACAGAATAGGAAAGACATTATTAGACTACTTTCTCTTTTTTTTGGAGAGAGAGCAGGCACATGTGTTAGTGGAGGGGCAGACGGTGAGGGAAGAGAATCTCAAGCGGATTCCCTGCTGAGTGTGGAGCCCAATGCAGGGCCCGATCCCATGACCCTGAGATCATGACCTGAGCCAAAACCATCGGATGTTCAACCAGCTGAGTCACCCAGGTGCCCCAAAACTACTTTCTTAAAGACATGCCTATAAGCAACCATTTCAGGAATATCCACAGAAACATTTCTTGGGAAGGCTCAAGGAAAACTATGGAGGAAAAATGCTGCTGAACTGGCCACCTGGAAGAATCTGCTCTGGAATGAGGAGGAGTTATGAGAAAAGAAGTGAAAAAGAGGTAAATAATGAGATTTCGAGAAAACGACTAAATCGTAACATAGTTTGTTACATTAAATCATCAGAAGCCAAACAACTCTTAAGGAGCTGGGCTGGTATAAATCACATTCTCAGTTTAAAAACACAACTCCATTTACAAATGTAGGGGTCCCTTTATTTCATTTGTTTGGTTCATGTTCAACAGACCTGTTTTTTATGTCTTCTACTTGGTAAATAACCAGAAAACAGTACTAGGTCACTGGGGATGCATGACCGAGTGTTAACAGTGAGAGGTGGGGATCATTGCTCTGCAGAGGGTGAATCAGAAAGTCAATCACAGAGTGATGCAGGCAGACTGTTGGGAGAGTTTCTTAAATTCTCGTGACCTGGTTTCCTCATCTGTCTAATGGGGAAAATAACTGCTGCCCTGCCCAACTGCAAAGAACAGAAATAATGTATGTTACATGCCTATTAGAATTCTGGAGGTTGGTTACCCAAAAAAGGGATAGCGTTATCAACTTCAACTAAATGATTAAGGAAGAAGGGTTGCTATTAGAATAGAATGACATTAGTAGGACTTAAAACTTGGGAAAGTTTTCATGAAAAAGGTGATACCGACAAGCTAGGTCTTGGAATAATGTGGGGATTTAGGGAAAAACAATGAAAGGAGATAAAGTACTATGTTTGATTACAGAGAAGTGAAATTTGTGGGAAGAGAAATGGGATCTTTAGCAGGAAGGGACAAAGAAAGGATGGTAATCATGATGATGATAACACAGAAAAAATAAGTGCAGATGGTAAAACATTTTAGACTAAATCAGGCTGCTAAACTCCAAAATCTCTAACAGAGCAAACTAGGTTTGGCTTTATAAAATATAATCATGTTTCACAATTTAGGAACAGTGGCATAAAGAAAAATAACAAATCAAATCTATCAGTGCTCAACCCCTACAGTTAAAAACAATTACATGGATTAAAGATTCTTAAAGGCGTGGCTTTTTGCTTGTGACCCAGATTCCCAAGCCAAACATCAAGAAAATCCTATTAAAATACAAGACCCTTTTATAGAATCTAAAGAACGCAAAGCAGGCAAATACCAAAACTTCCTAAAGGTGCCCCACAGGTGAGACCTGTGGTTCAGCCCCAGAGGCAGGGGCCAACAGTGGGGGGGCTGTGGCCTGCTCTAAGGGCCAGGTCAGTTATGTAAACTTACTTATTTCTCCTTGGAATGAAAGTGGAAAAAAATAAAAAGTCTGTAATGAGTCTGTCAGGATTGTTAAGTGCATATATTCCTCAGCTTTATTCTGAAGAAAATAAATCTTATTAGAGTCCTATATTAAGTTTCAGATTTAACACAAATATTTAATTGAATTATACAGAATGAGGAATCAAAGATCATGTGTGACTGAATTTCAGTATCTCAGTACAGGAACTTTGATATAGTGCTTTCCAAGGGATCTATTTAGTAGATTTGGCATTTAGTACTCACAGTGCTATACATAAAATGGTATACTGGTGACAGTTTTTAGTAATAAACATTAGTGAATGGGGTCCAAGGCAGACCTTTCTAAGTGGTATAGTTTAGAAAATTTGAGGTCTCATGAAATAAGGAGGAAATAAAAGACCTGCATATTTCAAGAGAAATACTTCATTATGGTATATGTTTGTTAAATCAGGAATAGAAACATGTATCTTACATAAATCAGTAACATGTAGATTAAAATTCAAATCCAAAAACAGGGAAAAAACTTCACCTGAACTTAAATATTGTTCCACTACTAGCAAGCGATAGACCTAATGGACCAGTGTGCCGACTTAATAGAAGCTTGGCTTAATGCAAAGCAAAAAGCTGCTTCTAACTGGATATATATAGTTTTAAAATTATATTTTATTAAAATATTAAATTTAATATTTTATATTAAAAATATTTTGTATATATAAAAATGTTTATATTTATATATATTTAAATGGAAGTGCAGTTGACACAATTTACATTAGTTTCAGGTGTGCAACATAGTGATTCCACAACTCTGTACCTTATGCTGTGCTCACAAGTATAGCTGCCATCTGTGACCATACAGCACTATTATAGTACCACTGACCATATGCCCTATGCTGTACTTTTCATCTCCCTGACTTACTCATTCCATTACTGAAAGCCTGTACCTCCTACCAATCATTTTGCCCATCTCCCCCTATTCCCCACCCCTCTGGCAACCGCCAGTTTGTTCTAACTGGATATTTCTGAAAGAAGCCTGGCTATGCCCTATTTAAATTTTACTTCTGTTGCCTCATGTTGTTTCGGGCAGCATATATTTGAGAGGAACTTTGGTAACAAAAGCCTTGCCTTGTAGACTTTTGGTCTATGACTTAATAAAAAATACTTTCTCAGGATGTTAATCTATATTTAGGTCTTTAAATATTTAAGAATTCTCCAAAACAAAAAATTAAGCATTCTCAAGAATTAGCAAATATGGGTAAATATTTATTGTGTAAAATTTATGTTCTCAAAAAGACTAGTTTCTGAATTTATGTAAAAAGCTTTAATTGCCAATGGGTTAAAACTGAATATACAAAATGCATATCCAGTTTCAAATGCCAGTGTATTAAGTTTTTTAATAAAATGTTTCTAAATTTCTAAATGTTCATTGGGAGAAACAAAGAGTTTTATAAAGATAATAAAAGTAAATACCAATACAGGATGTTCAGAAGAGAGAAGAGGAATAGATTTGTATAATGTTTCCTCATATTCAAAATTCTTCTGCATATTTATTCATTTGACAGACACTTTTGAGTGCTTATCAAATGAACAGGATGCCCTGGAAGGCATTGGGAACATAATGGTGAACAAGGCATAAATCCTGGCCTGAGCTCCAAACATTTATGGTCCAACTGTGAGGGGTGTGCTATGGGGAAGGGACCAGAGAATGGCATAAGCAAGAGACACTCCATATACATACAGAGACTTATGGGGAGAGTAGAATAAAAACCTCACATTTCACCTTTTAGAATCCTATAAACTCATAATGAAGAAATTCTGTTGCTAAAGAGAAAATCTTGTCATTTTAGTAAAGTTTCATTTTAGAAGTTTTTTCCTGACTCAGCCACTTCCTAATACTGTTTTGAGTTATGGTCCACACATTTCCGCTGTCAGGTTTATGCTTCAGGCAGTGGTGGGTGCTGCTCTGAGTGGACAATGAAATTAATATGCCATGACCTGAACAGCATAGATGACATAGTGGAAGGCACGAATCACAGCACGACCTTTGGGGGAGCTCCTTGGACATGACGCCCATCTCCGTCATGAGACCTCTTCAAGCATTAGCCCTTACATTCCCTGCCTGCATCCTTTCTGCCATCTCTCTTGTTTTATGTTTCTTCATTAAACTAAGAGCACTGCTGTGAAGATTTCCAACTGGGGAGATAGCTGGGAGAAGTTTGGGTTGGAAGGTGGGAGAAGGCTATAAAGCACTGAGGGACAAGAAGCAATGCTGCTTAGGAAAGGAGAATTCTTTTTATCTTTTCCAAGTACATTTTCAAGGCCTTTGGGGAATGAGAGACCCACATAGAGATTACTTATAATAGCAAAAATATAACCACTATACTTTTAAACACAAATGATACCATATATAAAAAGAGGAGGAAAAATAAAAATGAAACTATAGATGGGAAAAATAGTCTCTTACCATAGTATGTAAGATACTCTGCTGTGTGTAAAAATGTCAGTGAAACGAGAACGTTGAAAATCCAATTTATTCCAGATGAACATGCATTTCCTGTACTTCTTGCCCAAAGGGGATATATTTCAGAATTCACAGTCCAAGGCATTGGTCCCATTCCTGAGAAAAACATAAAACTAAAAATTTCAGTAAGTAGTTTATAAGGAATTTGAAAAAGAGTAGTTTGTCTCCCCTAAAAAGAGACACTTTAAATAACACAACAACACAAAGCCTTTGTTTACCAGGTGCGAAGAAAACAAGATATAAAATAAGGCCCAGAAGTGCAGTCCAGGAGTATGGCGTAGGGCAGAAATTGTAAGCCCAAAATACTTCTTCTGTTTTAAATTTGGTTTCATTCTCACACCTGAAAAATAATGCAATATAAGTATTAATGTTTTAGGGTATAGTTGCAGAAATTCAATGTGCTTATCTTGGAAATACCTGAAAGTTCCTTAATATCCTTAAGGAAAAGGGTCCAAGATGTTTTTCTTGAAAAAAAATTAAGATATAAATGTACAGTATTCGTTGTAAAGCTCACATAGAACATCTTAGATCTGAATATAACTCAAGAGGAAAAAATATACTGTGTGTACAACTCAACAGCAAAAAAACAATCCAATTAAAAAATGGTCAGGGGGGATGCACCTGATTGAGCATCTGATTCTTGGTTTTTGGCTCAAGTCATGATCTCAGGGTCCTGAGATTGAGCCATGCAAGTCAGGCTCCACACTCAGTGGAGATTGTCTCTCCCTTTCTCTGTCCCCTCCCCACTCTCTCTCACTAAAAATAAATAAAACAAATGGTCAGAGGATCTAAATGGACATTTTCCTAAAGGAGACATATAGATGACAGGTACACGAAGAGGTGTTCAACATCATTAATCATCAGGGAAATACAAATCAAAAGCACAATGAAATATCACCTCCCACCTGTTAGAATGGCTACCATCAAAGAGATGAATAACAAGTGTTGGTGGGGATGTAGAGAATGAGGAACCCTTGTGCATGACTGATGAGAATGTATATTGGTGCAGCCACTATGGAAAACGGGATGGAGGTTCCTCAAAAAATTAAAAACAAAATTACCATAGAATTTGGCAATCCAACTTCTGGGTATTTATCTGAAGAAAACGAAAACATTAACTCAAAAGATATATCCACCTGTGTGTTCACTGCAGCATTATTTACAATAGGACATGAAAGTAACTGGAGTGTCCACTGATGGATGAATGGATAAAGAAAATGTGTGTACATACACACACAAATATTATTCAGCCTTAAAAAAGAAGGAATTTTTGCCATTTGTAACAATATGGGTGGACCTTGAGGGCATTATGCTATGTGGAATAATACCGTATGATCTTGTATGTGCAATCTAAACAAAAATACTGAGCTATGGTCGTAGATACGGAGAACAGGTTTGTGGTTGCTAGGGCACGGAGTTTGGAGAATTGAAATGGGTCAAAAAGTACAAACTTCCAGTTAAAAAATAAGTCATGGAAGATAATGAACTGCATGGCCACTACCGTTAATAATACTGCATTGCATGTTTGAAAGTTGCTAAGAGAGTAGGTTTTAAAAGGTCTCATGACAAGAAACATTTGTAAATAATGTATGATGATGGATGTTTAATGCCAAATCATGTTGTCCACCTGAAACTAATACAATGTTATAGGTTAATTATATCTCAATAAAAAAACCACATTGTGTTTTATACCTACTTTATATAAGTCAGACATGATTTCCAGTTAGTCCTTGAAAGCTATAGTAACACTTTAAGACTACTGAGAGTCTGTTGTGGTAGAAAGACCTTAGAATTTGCAGTCAGGACAAGATTCAAATTCCCAAACCAGAGTTTTTTTTTCCATCTGTAAAATGGGGATAATGCCTTATTTTAAGGATTAGAAGGGTCCCTTGTAAACAGGTGATGGTGTAGATGTGGGGAGGGAATAGTGCTTATCTGATCCTAACTAACACTTTCTCTTCCTGCGTGTGTCCTTGCTTCTGTCTCAGTCACTCCCTAGTGACTTTGCCTCCTAGTTCTATTGTCAAGCAAAGTCTCCTCTGGACTTAGATTGACTCTCAAGTTAAACTTCCAATTCTTTACCTTAATTGAAACTGGAATTGCCTATGAAGACACAACCAGCCTCACAAACATTCTTGCCCTCATTGTCATTTTTAGACTAGTGTTCTGCCTCTATCAACCTCTTCTGTTTGAACCTTAACATTTAAGCCCTGTCCTTGCTGGTCTGTTTATTACCTCCATCATAACACCCCACCTTGTCTTTCCGAGTTGAGTGCCTGGTCAGTCATATCCTCTACCCCCTCACATCCTCTGCCACAGCTGTTTATTTTTACTTCTGGCCCATATAATACTTTGGCTTAATAGTTCTTTATTTAGCCTCTGAAATTGCAAGAGGGCACTTTATAGTTTGCTTGATTTGGAACTATTTTACTTCAAGGTCTCAGCATTCCTTTTCTGATAACAAGCATTCCTTTTCTGGTAACAAGCATTTTATTTCCTCATTTCTGATAATTTCCTCCACACCCAAATCACAGTCTTTAGATTCTAAACTCCACTCAGCTTTCACTTAACCTCATCACTCAGTGTAGACCCATGCCAATACTCTGCCGGTCTCTACAATCCATCTTTCCTTCCTCCATGCTTATCTGCCATCCTCAGGATGTCAGTTTCCAACCATGCACAGTACCATTTAACTGCCTTCAATTACCACTGGGCTAAACTTTGCTCAACTGTTGTATCAATTAATTAAAATATGTACTATCTTCCAGTACTGAAATCTTTCCCTCTTTCTCACTACTATGAACTTGGGTTCTCCTTTAAGAGAATATGGAGGACGTTCAATCTGAACACCCTCAATTTTACTCTCTTGAACCTCTTGTTTTTCTGCATTTTCTTTCAGGGCTCTTCTCCTAACACCTCCATTAGTAACATGTCTCTTGCCTTTTCTGAGGATCTGTACCTCCTCCTTCTGTCTCTGCTGGGGTCACGTTCCATCAGCAGTCTGTCTCTTTCTGCCATTTTCAGTTTTTTCTGACATGAGCCTTCCCTTCTATTTATGACGCACAAGCTTGCTGCTACTCAACTGTTCAACCCCTCTCGTATTACACTACTAGTTCATCTGCAATTACAGAGAAATTTATACTGGTGAACTCTTCAACCTTAACAACCTGACAACCTACTCTTTCCTTCCTAGGCCAGCTCCCCCGTCCACCCATAGGCCAGCTGACTGAATTACTGTTCAGTTACTGAATTCGGCTAATAAGATCTTCCTTAGCTGAGCCTCAGACTCACTCAGGCTCTGTTTTCCTGAATCTACTCACCCAAAAGTTAGACCTTCTAACCCCCAAATGCCTTGATTTTGAGGTTCTTTGATTACTTTCTGGTGCTTGATATTGCTGACAGATCTTTTTTCTTCTCTTTCCCCTTTGCTTTTTACAGTTATATCTTCATCTTCTCCCTCTGATATATATGTCTTCATTGCTGTTTAAAGTGTCTCTTCCTCCCCTCAACCTCTAAATAAAGGTGTTTTTAAGGTTCTATTGTGGGGTCTGTCCCTTGTCTCTTAAACATTTCATCTAATTGTAATTAAATTTTTGAAAGAAAGGAAGACTGCCATATGCAGTGCCTCACTGGGATGTGTCTGGAGTCTTGGAATCTTGACTATCCTACATTCTCCTACAAATTGAACTTGAGAGCTCGTTTGGAGGTTCTGACAGGTGCACAGCTTCTCATATACCCTTGATGGAAGAACAATATCTGGGAAGGTCATCCTCTTTGAGTGTACAGCTACAGGAGAGATGCACATGGAAGGGTGAGGAAGGGGACACATGTCTAGCCGCCAAATCAGCCAAAGCAACTGTGGCGATCAGTGGGGTGACATATCACTGCTAGATCACCTTCACACCCATCTCATCTAATTTTAGAGATTGATAGTCTCCACATGGATGCTCCCTGATAGTTTCTTCTAGCGTTGACTTTTTTTCTCATGCTCCATTGATGGAATTTGGGTATCTGCTGAATATCCACTATTATCACAGGTTGTTGGAACATTAACTGTGTAATGCATACTGAGTGCTTAGCACACTGCTTGGCATGTAGTGTATGCATAGTAGTATCAGTGTAATAGTGCCTCTCATGACATTTCTGTTTTCGATACCACCACCACTCCCTGAGTTGAAATGGGTTAAACTCTTGCAGTTATCTTCAATATTTTCTTACCCATCTTTCTTAAAATCCTCTATACTTTTAAGTCCAATTAAAGAAGAGTGGCTAAGACTATGAGCTCTGGGACTGACATCCTATGTTCAAATCTAGGTTGGGACACCCAGATTTGAAGCTGGGATATTTGTGACCCAGGTACTTAACTTTTCAAAGCCTGTGTCCTCATCTGTGAAATAAGGGTTTTCCTGGCACCTACCTCATATAGTTATTTTGAGGCTTACATGAGATGATGTATGCAAAGAACTTCACATGATGTGGGTAAAAATTCATAATTATATTGCCTAGACATATTTTCTTGAATCTGCCTTTTCTATTTGCGTTAATACTGCCCTGATTCAGACAGTTTGTCTCATCAACTGCATTTGTCTCTGGCAGACTCTGGAGTAGTCTCTCTGTGATCCATTTCCTGATACTCAATCCTCTTCTCTAGTCCTGTCTCCTTGAGTGTGGGAGTGACCTGTGACTTGTTTCTAACAGAACGTGGCTGAAGTGACAGGACGTATGTGATTATGTAAGCTGCTCCACGGAAGTCTCTCACTCCCTTGCTGGCTTTGAAAAAGTAAGCTGGTACGTGATGGGATGTCAGTGTTGGGACGCTCATGGGAGGGACTGAGAGAAGTCTTTAGGAGCTGGGGGTAGCCTCTGATTAACAGCAAGAAACTGAAGTTCTTGGTACAAAAGTTACTGAATTCGGCTAACAAGATCTTCCTTAGCTGAGCCTCAGATACAACCACAGCCCAAGTGAACACTCTGTAGCCTTGTGAGACCCTAGGCAGGGGGCCTAGCTGAGCTGTGCTTGGACTTGCTGGCCCACAGAAGCTGGGGTATAATTAATGTGTGTTGTTTTAAGTAAGTATATGGCAATATTACTATAGCACCAATAGCAAATAAATATAGTCTCCTGATGATTTTCCCTACGTCTGGCATTCCTTTCTTCAAACTATCACCCCACCAAGTTGAGCTCTCGAAAGCACTGCTCTGGCCACCTCACTGCTCAAAAACCTTCAGCCCCCTTATCCCAACTGCCTATAAAATGGGGCCTGCAAAATTTGGCTGCAGCCTACCTTATATCTTATACTCCTGTATACCATCCTTTTCTCCAAATAATTATACTGCTAA